GGTTCAGATGTTTGCTTTGCATCGCTGACCAGCCGCATTTAGTCTGAACATAATCTAGTTTTACAATCACCTTATTTTTTGTTACGAGAATTAGAGCATCTAAATTACTTTCTACTACTGTTCTTAACTATTTTCTGCTTTACTACTTTATTACTCCGTTATTTAGGGACTTTCTGAATCAATCCCATTTTTATGAAGCTAATTTTGTTCCATTTTTCTTGCAAAGGACAGATTTTTTAAATGGGGAAAAAAATGCAACATTTAAAAAATTGATTTTTCATGTTTTTTTCTTATAGATTTTGACAAATTTCATTATTTTCTTATTATGTTTTACAAATAGGAAGCACATTTCTATTGGTCTGCTGGACGTTATCAACAACAACATCTTTATTGGTCAAGGAGGAGAAGCAGGAAGTGAAGAAAATGTGATCCATGAAATACTATTTCAAAAGAATGCATTTTGTAAATTTGAATCCAAAAAGAAATTTGCAAAAAAAAAAAAAAGAAAAATGTAAATATAAATCTGTTAAATCTAAATCTACCAAAACATTGCATAATTGCCCCAAATATATATAATGCTCTGAACTTCCATATCAAAGCGTTTTACACATTATCTCCCACCGTGTTTACATTTGATCACTGCTGCTCAGTTACTGTCTGAAAGCTGTAATAAGCTAAATTTTATTTTGTATACTTCATGTACAAAATGACGATAAAAGTTGTCTAAATCTAAGGCTAAATGGACCGTAGACTTGGGAGCAGTGAGCCTTCTGGGACCGGCTCCAGGTCGGATCGGCCCAATCATTCCTGGATCTTATTTATGATGGATTTCTCTACCAGCCTGAAAATAAATGAAACGGAGCCGTTTTAAAGGTAAAGGCTCTTTATTTCTGACACCTGAACCCGTCCAAACCAGAACAGCATCAAACTGGGCCGATCCCAGTTTGGTTCCGATGTCCTTCCCGGCTGAAGGTTCTGGTTCCTCCTCATGTCGGACTCTGAGCGGCTCCGCTCTGTGACCAGTCACATTCCGGGTTCTCCTTCCAGCTGGCCTCCTGGGTGTCGTAGACCTCCTGCGGATCAGAACCGGTCAGAACCGATGGAAGGCTCCGGGCTCAGCAGAAAGCCCGGCTCGGTTCCTACCTTCTTCCAGATG